TTTTTGTAGCTGCTGACTTTTATTTTTTTACAGATTGAGTGGAACTCTGCTTTAAGATGAAACAATTCTTTGATTAGTAGGATGCTGTGCAAACAAACCTAAAAGAGGAAGTGGAAGCAAAAGAATAATAGAGGTATTATCCCCGGCTCTTCCATCCTGACTTGTGCTCCATCTCCGTAGCCTCTCTGAATCTGTTTTGAGGTTGAGAAGCCAAAGCCTGGACATTTTACAGCACCTTCGTTTATTTATAAGGGATCTTTATCTTTTGAGTAACAATTTTTCTTAATTTTTAGTATTTTCCAAAGATGTGTTTAATAAATTAAGCAATAACTTTTGATCATGTCTCAGCTGGCCTGCTCTTCTTCTTCTTTCTTTTTTTTTTTTTTTTTTTTTATGATGTATTGCAGGAAGATGTTCACTGATGCTGTGCCTAGTCAGCTTTCTGTTCATTTTGTACCGGTAGTATACCGAACTATAGCTGATGTTTTGCTGTTGAGCCAGCTTTTTAGGTATGTTACACTATATGCAAAAAGTTCAGTATGTGGACATCACTCCAAATGTGATTCTCGTAGTTTCCCGTGAAGGGTACTAATAATGCTACAGTATTCAGACATTTTAGGCCAGGGTTTCTCAACAGGGTTCCTCCAGAGGTTGCCAGGGGTTCCTTGAGCAATGAGCAATTTTTGCCTCTCAGGTAAGTTCCCGCTGACACCATTGATATTTTTAGCAATCTGTAAGGGGGTAATTCTTCCCAATGACCCAAGTGTGAGGAGCATTGTTCCCAATGACCACAAGTGTGAGGAGCATTGTTCCCAATGACCACAAGTGTGAGGAGCATTGTTCCCAATGACCACAAGTGTGAGGAGCATTCTTCCCAATGACCACAAGTGTGAGGAGCATTCTTCCCAATGACCACAAGTGTGAGGAGCATTCTTCTTCCCAATGACCACAAGTGTGAGGAGCATTCTTCCCAATGACCACAAGTGTGAGGAGCATTCTTCCCAATGACCACAAGTGTGAGGAGCATTCTTCCCACTGACCACAAGTGTGAGGAGCATTCTTCCCACTGTCCACAAGTGTGAGGAGCATTCTTCCCACTGTCCACAAGTGTGAGGAGCATTCTTCCCAATGTCCACAAGTGTGAGGAGCATTCTTCCCAATGACCACAAGTGTGAGGAGCATTCTTCCCAATGACCACAAGTGTGAGGAGCATTCTTCCCAATGACCACAAGTGTGAGGAGCATTCTTCCCAATGACCACAAGTGTGAGGAGCATTCTTCCCAATGACCACAAGTGTGAGGAGCATTCTTCCCATGACCACAAGTGTGAGGAGCATTCTTCCCAATGACCACAAGTGTGAGGAGCATTCTTCCCAATGACCACAAGTGTGAGGAGCATTCTTCCCACAAGTGTGACCACAAGTGTGAGGAGCATTCTTCCCAATGACCACAAGTGTGAGGAGCATTCTTCCCATGACCACAAGTGTGAGGAGCATTCTTCCCACTGACCACAAGTGTGAGGAGCATTCTTCCCACTGACCACAAGTGTGAGGAGCATTCTTCCCACTGTCCACAAGTGTGAGGAGCATTCTTCCCACTGTCCACAAGTGTGAGGAGCATTCTTCCCACTGTCCACAAGTGTGAGGAGCATTCTTCCCATGTCCACAAGTGTGAGGAGCATTCTTCCCAATGACCACAAGTGTGAGGAGCATTCTTCCCAATGACCACAAGTGTAAGAGGAGCATTCTTCCCAATGACCACAAGTGTGAGGAGCATTCTTCCCAATGACCACAAGTGTGAGGAGCATTCTTCCCAATGACCACAAGTGTGAGGAGCATTCTTCCCAATGACCACAAGTGTGACCACAAGTGTGAGGAGCATTCTTCCCAATGACCACAAGTGTGAGGAGAATTCTTACCTCTGACTATCACACTAATGCATCATGAATAGTAAATAAAGCCATTTTTAGCAGGGGTTCCCTGAGACCGGAAAGTTAAATCAAGGCTTCCTCTGTGTTAAAAAGGTTCACAGAGGCTGTTTTAGACAATTGTGTGCTACTAACCTTGTGGCAACAGTTTTAGGATGGTCTTTTTTTCTGTTCAGCAAAACTGTGCACAAAGCCAGGTTTATAGACACAATGGAGGTGGGGGGATTTACTAACAATAGAGCATGCAAAATCTGGTATGGCTCTGCATAGAAACTAATGGGCTTCCAGGTTTTAGTCCTCATGCACACCTGATGTTTTTACAGCTGCTGTTTTGGCTTTTGATGTTTTTTGTTTTTCTTTCTACAGCCAGTAAACCCCCCAGCATGTTATCCCATGTGTCCATACACACATAGACTGGAATCAGCATTTTTTGGCAGGGGTGTGTTTTTTGGCTGGAAAAAAAACCCCAGAACTAGTGGGTTTCTAGAGGAGTATTTTAGCTGTAAAAACGCTCTAATGCTAAAAACGCTGAAAAACTCAGGTTTTTCCTGAGCAGCGTTTTCAAAACGCCCTCCCCCCAGTGTGTATGGAGCCTTATTGTCAAAGCTTAGTTGAACAAGCTGAAGTTGGAAGCTGATTGGTTACCATGTACGTCTGCACAGATTCTGAGTGCTCCAGTTTAGTAAATCTTCCCATGGCTTGATGTGGAGGAACTGCACAGGCACCTTTCTGGTAGAATGCAAATGCAAGCCAAGTCTTCTAATCCAGTATCAATATCTGATGTCACAGGTGCTCTTTCAGGCTAAATGACTAAAACAAATCTGGCGCAATGTCCTCCCAGGATGGTGGCGGCTGTTATAGCAGTGTAGCAGATGAGGGGGGTGGAGCTCTTGGATTTAGCGCCATATAATTGCCAGTGATTTTTAAATGGGACATCCAACAAGCTTATTTAGCTGTGATTGTCTGGACACGACAAACGTTTGGCCATGTATTGCATACTGTATTAGCAGGTTACCCTTGGAACATGTATGTTTTAAAATTCACACATTTTTAAACCCTTCTGCCCAGCCCTGCTATTGCTTTAGTTGGGCTATATCATCCGGGGGGTTGTGATGGTCTGCCCAGTCACACAGGGTCGTGGATAAAGGGGTACCACCTGTCCTCCTGTATGGGCCCCAGGCTAGCAGGGGGGCCCAGGCAGCTGGGTGAATCTGATGTGGGCAGGGAGGGTGATTGGCACAGTGGGGGCAATTACTGGAACAGATTCCATGTATGGCTCTCTGCAGTAGCTGAAATCTGTCTTTTTCTCCTCTCCCTCCCGATGGCATTCAGCTGCTGCAGAGAGAGCTATAGAGGGGATTGGTTCCAGTAATTGACCCGCCACACCCATAAACCTCAGTGTGCACTATATGTTTCTCCCTGCTACCCAGGCCCCATTGTATTCCTCTCCTTCCCACCGGTTGCTGCCAGCACACAACAGGATCCTTTTCGTAATGAAAAAATGCAGTAATGTAACGAGTCATCTGCTGGGGCACCTGCTGAAAAAAAAAAATTGCTAGCAATTAAAAAATAAGAAAAAAACGGTATGGAGTAGCGTTCTCCAAACCCCCCCCCCCCCCCAAAAAAAAAAATCCATAGCAAGCCCTTTGGGTCTGGTATGGATTTTGAGGGGAACCTCCACGGCAAGCAAAATAAAAAAAATAGTGTGGGGATTTCTGAGCGTGCAGGTCAGGAAGGGGGGGGGGGGGGTGGGTGTTGGGGCTGGGGGCAAGCAAGAAGTCATCCCCCCCCCTTCCCAACATGGGGGGGCAGCTCTGCTCCCCCATTGATGCCACAAGGGGCGTGGTCACCGGTTGACTTTGCCCCTTAGTTATTTAAGAACTGTCAGGCAGCGGAGCTGTGGGGGAGTCTTTGTCGGGAGCGGAGCCTTTTTTTTTTTTTTTTCTTTGGTTTGTTTGTTAGGAAGTTCCAGTAATTGACCCCCCCACCCCCGCCACACCCATAAGCCTCAGCCTGCACTATATGTTTCCCCCTGCTACCCAGGCCCCCGTTGTAAAAATGCAGTAATGTAACGAGTCATCCGCTGGGCACCTGCTGAAGAAAAAAAATTGCTAGCAATTAAAAAATAAGAAAAAAACGGTATGGAGTAGCGTTCTCCAAACCCACCCCCCCCCCCCCCAAAAAAAAAATCCATAGCAAGCCCTTTGGGTCTGGTATGGATTTTGAGGGGAACCTCCACGGCAAGCAAAAAAAATGGTGTGGGGATTTCTGAGCATGCAGGTCAGGAAGGGGTGGGTGGGTGTTGGGGCTGAGGGCGAACAAGCAGTCACCCCCCCCTTCTCAACATGGGGGGGCAGCTCTGCTCCAGTCATTGATACCACTAGGGGGGCGTGGTCACCGGTTGACCTTGCCCCTTAGTTATTTAAGAACTGTCAGGCAGCAGAGCTGTCAGACGGGGAGTCTTTGTCGGGAGCGGAGCCCTTTTTTTTTTTTTTTTTTTGTTTGTTGGGAAGGCGGTGGCAGCGGGCATTGTGATTGACGAGGGCTCTAAACCAGGGGATGTTTTTTATATTTTTGTTTTTTTTAATAAAGGACTTGTCAAAAGGGCATGTGGGCTGGTATGGTTTTGGCAGGGAGGGCGTGACAACCTGCTGGCAGCTGATGACTCGTTACATTACCGCATGTTTTCACTAACTCATGCTGTATTTTGGTACACTTTTTTTTGAGTGAATGCCAACAATTTTTTTTGAAAACATACTTGGATGAGGTAAGATACCGCTTTGCGAATTGTCCCCACAGACCTAAAACGTATTCTGCAAGAAGAGAGTTTTCAGCACCGCATCACTTGCATCGCGTTCTTGCTGGAAGAATCTGCAAACATGCTGGCATGAATACATAGAAGAAGCTGGTTTTGTTCCCATAAGAATACATTCAATGTAGAAGATGGGCATACAGGGTGGTGATAGCCTCTTCTGCTGCCTGCTCCTGTACTTCCAATATAGGATGCTACTTTTAATGGCGTTTTGTGTCTTTCTTATCTCACGCGACATTCTTGCTTGTGATTTTTCTCTCAGGAGTTGAATCGTCTTCGAAAGGCAGCACTTGCCTTCGGGTTCCTGGACCTCTTGAAGGGAGTGTCTGATATGCTGGAGAGGGAATGTACTCTGCTTCCTGACAACGCTCATCCTGATGCCGCCTTCCAGCTCTCACATGCAGCAGCTCAACTCAAACTGGCCAGCACTGGAACCTCTGACCCACGCTTCCTATGACAATAACATTGCGCCTCTGCAGACGGACTTCTCTGGCCGTGGCTCTGAAAGAATGTGAAGACCGGATCTATATCCTTGTGGGGCCTCAGCGGAGGACTTCTCCTCCACCTTGGAAAGCCGGTTGGCTTTCTAGCAAGTAAACCACTGCAGACTTCCAGAACCTGCCACAAAATAATTCACTGGTAATGGGCCAGGACTGAGAACCCGTTGGCTCAGGTATAGCTGCCCGAAATGTGGAAGCACAGTAATCTCTATTGATATGTGTACTGTATATAGTAAACATCAGGAACCACACAGGTCTGCGGATCCTAGGATTACAAGGCTTGCCTGTTTCCACTTTCCTGTGGCAATATGTGGCCCTAATTTCCATGTTTTGTGACTGATGGGAAAATTTTTTGCAAGAATTGCACTATACCAGTAGCAAGGATGTACAGGTATCTAAACGACTTGTATACAAAGGGGTTTCCTAAATGTGTTAAAATCTCTCTTGGACCAGTAAGTGACATTACTTTTTGCTATAGAAGGCTCATCGCTGAATGTCTGCTAGTGTCAAACATCCTCTTAAGTCCGGAATAAATGTTCTGGCAGGTCTTGATGGGACACCATTATGGCAAAGGCTGAATTTTTACCATCCATCATTCTGAAAACAGATTAAACCTTCTAAGGGCAACCTTAAGCTGGTGCTATGTGGGGTGGGGATATTGGCACATTCTGAAGTTCTTGGATTTTTCCAAGAATCTCCAAGAATCTGATCACTCATCTCTGACCTATGACCTTACCCCCTTGTGGAGGGCTGAGCTGTAATTTGCAAAGTAATAAGCCTTTTGCTCACAGGGGGGATTATTTTTCAAAACGCTCTTCAGTTTTAGTGAGGTTTGTGGACCAGTGGACTTTGTAGGCACATATACATCAATCCTAAATGAAATAAATATGAAGGAGGAGCCTGCACGCTGTGACGTGACGCCGCCGGATCACGGAGGTCCGGCGGCCATCTTTATACACAAGCTGGTTAGTCATCAAGCAGCTTTAACCCCTTTGCGCCGGTGCCTCCCGACCCTTTAAGGGTTTCAGCAGTCGGGGGGCAGGGTTTAGGGTCATGTGACTGCCGTGACACCCCGTCACATGATCAAGAAAGGTCCCGATCGAAAGAGGAGATCGGGACCTTTCCGTGAGTACCGGACATGTGTGCTGGGAGCGTGCAGGGCGCGCGCTCTCAGCACATATGTCTTTTTTTAATAGAACGCAAATGTGCGGCCGCTCGTGTCTAGGCCCAGACGCTGGGAGGCTGCACATTTACGTTCGGCCGGCGTGTGAAGAGGTTAAGCTGCATGTATCTCCTGCTAATTTTGGAATGCTTTCTGGAATTTTAACCCTTTAATAAAATCTGGTATTTAATTACTACACTATGGGCAATATCCCTTTTTACTCTGTACCGAGCATTTAATTCCCCAGAAACCCTGTTGACCACCCCAGCATCCAGAGGAGGGCAATCCACCACGCTCCAGCTTATCCTATAGGGGACCTATAGGAAAATTTCACCACAAAAAACCACGATATTTCGTGAAACATTCGGCAAAACGTTCCACAAAGTAATAGCACACCAATCGGGAACAATCCGCACGTTTTGATATATTACTTGTCTTTGTAGTGTAAAAACTGTGGGAGGAGTTAGCGTGGCAAATTTAGCTATAATAAGAATAAAAATAAGAACTAGAAAATCTACAATTTCTGGGGAAATTGTGTGAAGTGTTCTTGCCGCAACCCTTACCAAATGATTGATGAAATGTAAGCAGTGCACATTGCAAGCCTGACAGAGGGAGAAATGCATTTCAGCTTGTATTTTGCATCTCACAGTCCAGCCTGTGTGAGTCATCTGCCTCTTGAGTGACCTTTGGTTGCTATAGCAACTCAGTCAGTCAGGAATGTCAGCAGCTCTGCTCTAAACAGGCTGTTTAAACTTGCCAAGTTCACTGGCGATTGCCATCTTCAAACGCTTGTAGTTTTAAAAGTATAAATGCTACCGTGAAAAGGTTTTTATATTGTGACAATCACAAGAAACAGACCTAAATGTTGATGTATAGTATGTCTCTGAAAGATAAAAAATGAAGGCACAGTCGCAGTTTAAAAACGTCCCTTAAAATTTCTTGTGTCTAGAGTGGAGTTTCAATGAAAGTCAATGGGAGGGGTGAGGTCCAAACAAATGGTCATATTGTGAAAACTATAAGGACTATGGCTTAGCCGTGAACATTTTTAGTGACAGCAGGGTTAGCTGAACGTTTTGATATAAGATATGTGTAGGTGGGCTTGAAAATGACAGAGTGATGGCAGTTTACAAATCATGTTCTGATTTTTCCTTTGCACACTCTAGCTGTGCTCTGCTGCCACTCTACATGCACCATTCATTCCTATGGGAAAATTTCGCCACAAAAACCGCGATATTTCTTGAACGATTTGGCGAAACGTTCCACAAAGTAATAGCAATCCGATCGGGAACAATCTGCACGTTTTGATATATTACTTGTCTTTGTAGTGTAAAAACTGTGGGAGGAGTTAGCGTGGCAAATTTGGCTATAATAAGAATAAGAATATATATGTGAGATAACAATAAGTGTTCCTTGCTATGCAAGAACACTTAATAAAAATGTACAAGTTTTATTGATGACACCATGTTAAAAACCTCAAAAAAGATCTATACGTCAACCAAATGAATATTACTCTATATTGCCAAAAGTACTGGGCCCCCTGCCTTTACAGACACATGACCTTTAATGGCCCCCCAATCTTAGTCCATAGGGTTCAATATTGAGTTGGCCCCGCCCTTTACAGCTATAACAGCTTCAACTCTTCTGGGAAGGCCGTCCACAAGGTTTAGGAGTGTGTCTATGGGAAGGTTTGACCATTCCTCCAGAAGCACATTTGTGAGGTCAGGCACTGATGTCGGATGAGAAGGCCTGGATCGCAGTCTCCGCTCTAATTCATCCCAAAGGTGTTCTATCAGGTTGAGGTCAGGACTCTGTACAGGCCAGTCAAGTTCCCCACACCCCAAACTCGTTCATCCATGTCTTTATGGACCTTGCTTTGTGCAGTGGTGAGCAGTCATGTTGGAACAGGAAGGGGCCACCCCAAACTGTTCCCACAAAGTTGGGAGCATGAAATTGTCCAAAATGTCTTGGTATGCTGACGCCTTAAGAGTTCCCTTCACTGAAACTAAGGGGGCAAGCCCAACCCCTGAAAAACAACCCCACACCATAATCCCTTCACCACCAAACTCTACACTTGGCACAATGCAGTCAGGCAAGTACCGTTCTTCTGGCAACCACCAAACCCAGACATGTCCATCAGATTGCCAGACAGAGAAGCGTGATTGGTCACTCCAGAGAACACGTCTCCACTGCTCTAGAGTCCAGTGGCGGCGTGCTTTACACCACTGCATCTGCCGCTTTGCATTGCACTTGGTGATGTAAGGCTTGGATGCAGATGTTCGGCCATGGAAACCCATTCCATGAAGCGCTCTACGCACAGTTGTGTTAATCTGAAGGCCACATGAAGTTTGGAAGTCTTTAGCTATTGACTCTGCAGACAGTTGGTGACTTCTGCGCACTGTGCGCTTCAGCATGCCCTGACCCCGCTCTGTCATGTGACGTGGCCTACCACTTCATGGCTGAGTTGCTGTTGTTCCCAGTTGCTTCCACTTTGTTATAATACCACTAACAGTTGACTGTGGAATATTTAGTAGCAAGGAAATTTCACGGATGGACTTATTGCACAGGTGGCCACCTATCACGGTACCACGCTTGGAGTCACTGAGCTCCTGACAGGGACTGATTCTTTCATAAATGTTGGTAGAAGCAGTCTGCATGGAAAGGTGGTTGATTTTATACACCTGTGGAAATAGAGGTGATTGGAACACCTGAATCCACTGATTTGGGCAGCACAGTTAGCACTTCCGCCTGGCAGTATCAGGGTCGCTGGTTCAAATCCTAACCACGGCACCACCTGCCTGGAGTTTGCATGTTCTCCCTGTGCCTGCATGGGTTTTTTCTGGTACTGGTACTCCGGTTTCCTCCCACACTCCAAAGACATGCTGGTAGGTTAATTGGCTCTTGTCTAAATTGGCCCTAGTATGTATGAATGTGAGTTAGGGACTTTAGATTGCATGCCCCTTGAGGGTTAGGGACTGATGTGACTGTACAATATATGTATGTAAATTGCTTCGTAAATTGATGGCGCTATAGAACTACCTGAAATAAATAAAAAAAATAAAATAATACATTTGGAGGTGTGCCCCAATACTTTTGGCATATAGTGTATGTACTGTATATATATCTATATATTCTTACTCCATGGTGGTATAACTCATGGACAGTTTTGGATTCCTGTTAGACTTTCCATCAGTTCTCTGCTCCCGGAACAACCACCAAGCTAGTGTCACAGAACCTGCTTTTGTTTGGGTCATTACCAATGACCTTCTCAGAATGGTTGGCCCTACTCCTAGCTATGATATCTCCACTATAGCTCTCAGAGTCTATTGACCACACAAGCCCCACCACCACTACATCAAAGTCAGAAAAATATGTTGATCAAAAACTTCTGTTTTCTTTAGCTGGATAAATCATACATACCGCAAAGCTAATAAACAGCAACCACACGTTGTACAGATTGAAGCATTTATGGTCCTCTGAGCTATTAGTGGTGAAAAGTGTGCTAAAGAAGTTTAATATTGAGAAGAATCAGACTGTGTCAAATACTAACCTATGTAGAAGAGCCTCACCAGAGTAAATCCAAATAAACCTCACAAAGAAATTGCTCCTTGAAAATCTGTCATTGTGGTAAACAAAACTGTGGTGATGGTGGTGGAATCTGTAACCTTACAGTAAAGCTTACCATACACCAGTAGAATTATGCTTGAATATTCACATGGAAATTCAGAAAAATCATTCATCAGGACATTTGATCTTGCCATCATTGAGTCAACTAATTTCATTCTAAAGCCCTTAAAATGTCTTCAGGATCTGCTACTTGAATGGAATCCCAAGCGTATTAAACAGGTTTCTTTGT